GATCCATGAGTAGCTTTAGGTTTTTATTATTTATATAGCAATATGTAAATAGATGCAACAGACACAGAAATGTTTTGCTATTTACATTATCGATTTTCAACACACACACCCTTCCCAAAAAACTATACTGCTCTGGCCAGTCCACTCAAATGTTCAGAAACCCCTCAAGATAATGTGAAAGCAAGAACCCAGTAGACCCATGCATTAAGCTGAACAGTGTGGATTGCATATGAAGTGGATGAAGACACCCCCCTTACATGATCCATGCTGCTGGAGTTCAGTTCTGTGCTCCCAAACTAGAGAGTCTACCTGGCAAGCACACAACTTGACCAACTTAAGTAACACAGTATGGTGCTGTACAGAAGAGGCCAGAGTGGCACCTTCCATCCTTCTCTTTGAGCCTGCCCCACCCCCAGGAGAGGCAGCCCTGATAAGAAATTTAAGCTACGTTCAGCTTCCTTCTCCTTCTCTCCACTACCATGTCAGATTGCAAAGAAGCTTTTTAAACTCAAGTTTGTTTTCAAGGCTTCCAGCAATGTATTGAGGCCGGGGTGTGTGTGTGTAGGGTTTCCCTGTCAGAAGAATCGGCATAATGGGCCCAACTTCATTGTATCTCAACAGTCACAATCCTTTTAACTTCTCAGTTGAGAATCACAACAATCTTCAACAAACTACCCTTGACGCAAATGGTTATTTAATTCTGTGTAATCTTCCTCAGATATCATAGGACCTATACCCTTTGACACAAATGAAATTTCTGTTAAAATTGAATTTCACTGTAAATAGGGAACATTTGGCCCACTGCCATAAATGCTAATTTTTTAAAAGGAATATTAGGGTTGCTAAGAACTAAACATTACCTTGAAGAAATGGTCTTGGTACACAGGATTAGCTAGGTGGTCTCTGTACAATTACACGTGACACTGGCGCATAAAAATGCCAGGTAAAACACAAAATGAGGTTATCGAGTCATATATGGAACAGTTGTCTACCATTACAGTTTTATACCTACAGGTTATCTGCATTCCTAGAGTGTGTTCCAGTTCTAGTTTTGTGCTGTTAGTACTCTGCAATTACTAACGGCTCAATAACGGCACATCCCTGTCCAAAGGTGTATCCAGCTAGTTCAATTCAGCCTAGATGAACATGCACATATTTTCATGTATTGAAACTTCCTATTCTGCATCAGTGCATAGCTTCTGTTCTCCAGATTTTGAAAATAGCGAACACTGAATTTTGCTAATTAAGCACATTCAATAGCAAGGATTAAGTTCAGCCCTCTAGCACCTTAACGCTGAACACATTGGTCAGGATCCACAAATGGACCTAGGCACCGAAGGGGACCTTGAGTTATTCTCAAAACAGCTACCCCCCCTTCCCGTTGCATGGCATACTGCTTTTGAAACTCAGGGGAGGTTCAAAAACAGTTTGCAACACACCAAGCAACTCTGAACAGCTATTTTCAAAGAAAGTCAAATACTCTTCCGGGAACATCTAAAGAGCTCTGTAGATCCCACATGTATTATTATGTACATTATGCACATGTAAATCCCTTTGATTTTAGTGAGACTTATCAGTGAGTAACTAGGGGCAGGATTAATCCTCTCTCCAGGATACACATATTTTTCATGTAGGTTTCGGAGGGTAGCCAATATTTCTGACCTTAGAGAAACACCAAGGAACTGGAAAGCAACGTTGAATTGTCAAGTTAATCAGTCCCAAAAGTTATTTCTCCCCCCATTGCTTCTAAGCAGGCAATATTTGCACAAAATGGGAGTTTAAAAAAACTAAAAGCATATAGAGAATGTCCAAGCAAACAACAGTCCTTTGCACAGACCAGACAAGCACCAAAAAGGAATATGATTAAACAGTCAATTTCAGACATTCAAAAATAAAGGCAGTCTCTCTATAGCTTCAACAGGGCACCCGGCAAACAAAGATAGCTACTCATCCTTCCTCACACTCTTCTGAGGCAGTCTTTCTGAATTTAATTTTCAATAACAAATATACTTTATTGGCAAAGTTTGGGTCCCATTACTGTGTGTTCTGAAAATACAGATGTCTCTTTGTGAGACACTATGTAGCAATGACTTTGCCCCAAAATATCGTCAGGCAGTCATATTTAGCAGAGTTCACATAGAGGAACTTTGTTGAAGTGCTGCTCATGGTAGTATTAGTAGAAGCCTCAAATGAAAACATTTTTTTGCCATTTCCCTTTAATATTGTTTCACACCTCATTATATTATTAACTGGTAAATACTTCAGGAAAATAAAAAGGGTACTTAAGTACTCCTTAGGCTGTCTGAAAAGTAGGGGGGGGGACACGAAATCAGAACACATTCAAACAGTGGGACAAAAAAACTAGTGTGTAAGAGTTCCCGTCCCTTGTACTTCACAGCTTTGAAAAGCTACAATGAATGATCCTTGTCCTGATGGACAGCCAAAACATGTAAGCTGAATTGCGCCATCTCGCCGCTTATTCAGTCTGATAGCTGATACAACCTCATCTCCTTTCAAAAAAACTTTTTGACACCAGTCCTGGAAAGGAAGGATTTACGCTAAACTCCCCTTTTCAATGCCGCAAACGTGTTTTCGCAATTAAAGCTGCACAATTACCATTGACAAGCCCAAGTCGGCAGAACATAAGCCCGTGCTGTTCAAATGCGCCTGCCTCTCAGTGCCTCCAGCAAAAAACCCACAGGCGGTGTGGGGGGGGTGGAAAGAAGAGGGGGGGAGAATGAAATAAAGAAATCTCCCCCTCATTATTTAACAACTTGTTTGGTATTGCACTGCACCTTCTTTTGGAATGTTTGATTGTATGGGAAGAATGTTTTCCCCATTTTAATTTCCTGGCTGGAGGCCCCATCCTCTCATGGTTCTGCTTCTTCATGTATACAAAATATGCTCCAGACACGTACATAAAAATAATGACACTTCGTAGCATCCCATTTTTTTTTAAAAAAAGAGGCACTTCATTTTTATAATTCATAAAACACGTCTAATAACAATGCAGGGGAGCCTGAGACTATTTTAACTCTTGCACAGGGATGTATGCGCCTCACGTCTTAATGCCTTGCGTTCTTGTACTGCTTCTGCCCACGAGGGAAATACTGAGATCCGTACTCACATAGCAAGGAGAGAAAAGCAGTTCAGCTTTCTAACAGCCTTTCAGAAAATAATTGATTGTTAAATCCTGACTATTCCCCCCCCCTCTCCCCCTCTCTCTGTGTATTTGGTGTGCCTCTTCTTGAACACCCTTCTTCATGCATTGTGAAAGAACACCTGATGATTCCTACAGACACACTGTTTCACACAGACTCCTTGACCAACTAAAATCAGGAATAACAAGATCTATACCCTCCCCCACCAGTTCCAGTTAGTTCCTCTCATACATAACAATGCCACTTGGGATTTTAACTGAACCAACCTTTCTTTAGCGGAATGGCGACAAGTAGGGTGTTTTTTTAAAAAGTAAATACAAACTGTCCTTAAATATATATATGAAATTGCTCAAATGGGATCCAAGAGGAAACTTTTTAACACATATATGCGTACAAGGAAAGGGTGCAAACAGCTAGTTCTTTCTAGGAATGTAAAGTACAGTACAGGACAGATGAAGATGAGCTGTTTTGCTGCAGGTTTGGAAACATCTCAGTATTAGGCATATAAATAAATACCACTAACTAAAGGTCTTCTTTTTAAAAGAGCTAGGAAAAAAACCTGTGCATGCATATTTTTTAAAAACAACAACACAGAGATACACATTTTAAAGACACAGCACATACAACAAGAAATAGGAAAGCGGAATATTGAATGTTGCATTGAAAGTATGTCTAGTTTCGAATTAGACTGTAAAATCAACGGTCTCTCTGTTTTATCTTGTAATGAAGTCTCTTCAGTTGAAAAAGGGACACTGAGGTTCAGGCATACCTCAACACCTGAGAAGCGCTATTCAGACCTATGGCTTCTAATACCCTGTATGCCAGTCTTTATTTACCCAGATGTAACTACTAGTTCTTTGAGCTTTCATCAGTTTCACCAGTTCATTTGTTGGATTACATATTAGTGATAAAATGTCTGTTTTAATCAGTGCATCTGAGGGCTAATTGCCCCCTTGCATGCTCTTAGTCTGTTTTGGTTCTACCATAAGTCTATTAAATGGAATTTAAAAAAATTAAACTGGCATTTTTAATACTAACACACAATTATAAAGTAATGCTGTATTGACTTGAAAGGAAGACAATGCTGAATGTAAGATGTTCCGACTCCCAGGTTATACATAATTTTTATTATAACTGTAACTTATGAAATTTTAAGGCAGCCTCTTTTTTTCTTAGTGGCACATGTGAGAAAAAGCCAAGTCTTCCCTTCCAGTAAATATGGGTAGTTAACACTTAAGATACCAAGACAGAGGACGGGACTTTATTTTGTTTTGGTAGAGAAAGGCTCAGTGATTTTTTGGGAGGGAGGCACAGACTTAAGTGTTCTTCATTATGAACAGAAACTTTCTTCTTGCCTAGCTCTTTGCTACATAACAATATACAACTGGAATAAATTTGTCTTCTACCTGAGCCCTTGGGGGTCTACAAATCAAATACATAAATGGCCGGTGACAGAATGCTACAATAGTTTCAACTGTGATTTTTCTGAAAATGGGTTGTGTGAACGTTCCTAAATATAGCAGTGCCATGAAAGGAAACAGCCTGAGGATGGAATACTTGTGCTCTCAAGAGAAACCTTTCAGACACTACATTACAGCCAACCAACCCAGGCTTGTCATTAAGTAGTCATGTGACAGGAAATCACAGTCAGTTGGCACTTGGTAATGAATGTACCACATTACCCTCATAGTTACCAACATGAGCCTGCCATATGCAGCAGGATACATGTTCAGGTGTACACTACAGGCATTCTTTAGCATATACCTAATACATACTTAAAATGGTCCTGGTACTCCAGGGAGGAATACTCTCCACAAAGAAGAGAAGGAAGCATCTTACCATATCTCCGGGTTTTACGGAAACTGCCACCACGGCTCCAGGCATGGGTGACCTCAGGATGCTACTACTGTCCTCCACCACTTTCTCAGGCATGTATTTGCTCAGCTCTGCAGCAAGCTTGGTCAGGATACGCAACTTGTACTAAGGAGGCAAGGGAGAAGAGAACAGGCACTAACACTGCAAAAGCAAGCAATGAAATAATAAAAGAGAAATGATGTTCACACCCCAAAAACCTTTGTACGGAACCATTTATATCTAGAATCTGATCTATACATGACATGAAAACTACCATTTAAAAATGTTGGGAGAAAGATGGGCATATTTGGAAGAACTGGTTTGTTAATTTAAAAGCTCTCCAGGTGTGATGGAAATATGCAAAATAAGACTATTTTTTTACAAAAAAAGTTAATAAAAAGGTAAACTGTGGTTTTCTTTTTTTAAAAAAAAATTAGACCTTAAAGTGTACATTGTTTTAAAGATTTGATTAAACACAGAGAGTATAGCAAACTAGACCGAACCTAGCCTTTTGCGAATGTTCAACAATTTGGAATTATTTTGTCATTTCTCCATCCTTTTTCCCTTTCCCAGTATGCCACACAAATGACTGTAATTATACACCATGGTTGACTTTTGGAAAAGCATTTTACAGAGAATATCTCCACCTGTTGCCAGTTGAAATTATACTGGTGTAAATGTAGAACAACTGATGGAATCAATCCAAAATTTAAACATGGTAAATAAGCACATCAAACTGTAGCTCCAGATAAAAATTTTTGCTTTAGCTTATTTAAAAAAAATGCAAGGAATTTTAAGTTTGATCTTTTGTAACCAACCCAGTGTTCATAAGTAGGAACAACAACAACAACAACAACAAATCACCTACAATACTCCTTCCTTTTTCAGCAGTTATGTACAGGATATACCCAAAAATATGAAAAGGCAGAAGCAACCTGGAATAAGTGAAAGGTCAATCTCCGAGTGTAGTTCTCTGCACTATACAAAGGTCTTCACTTTGTTTAAGGCCCTTGTGCTCACTCAATTCCTAGAATGGCACCAGCAAAAAATTCTAAATTTGTCAAAAGAGGACACACCAATAACAATACCCTTACTGCTTCTGTCATTAAAATACTTATCAAAAAAGTGCTGTAGCTTCACTTGAGCTTCAGGTTTCTCTGCTGTTTTTTTAAATTGTATCCCACCCCCAATCTACCTAGAAAAAGAGACAGTGCATTCAGAAATCCAGTAGATGGCAGTAGGTCTCTGTGAGAAACATTTCAGTCTTTGGCCATCAATGGACAAAAAGAACAAAACTGTTTTCATCACTAGTTTAATCAACAGTGTTGATAATAAATGTTGCAGCTATAGAAATTGTTGTGTATTATTATTGGTTTATCTTAATGTTGAAATGTTTTATGATAAATTTATTATGTTATGTTTTATATTTAAATTATAAATAAAAAGTTTTTTTAAAAAATGTTGCAGCTAGATCTGCACTTAATAATCCAATTTGCAATAAGCAACCGGCTTCAACATCTCAGCTTTCGGGGGTTTGGAAAAATGCAATCTCTGATCATATTTCCAGCCCCTGATGCTAATGCGGTTAATGCCTCATCACTAGATTCAATGACCTATGGCTGTGAAGTTCAAATTTCCCATCCACAGGGAAGTTTCCAAATAGATCCCTCTGCTATGGAATCCCTACACATTGCAGAGGATTCAAGGGTAAGTTTTAGAGTGCACTCTTGGGGCTAGTTCTAAAACCTTTTGTACCTGGAGAGAGACATACCCATTACCCCCACTATGAGTACCATGATGCAATGTAAAACATTAGATTTGTGTGGAGGTTGATGAAGCCTAACTGTGCAAATCAAGAGGGCACCAAAAACCTCTGCCACCGTCTGTGTAGCAGTTGCACATTGCAAGGGAATTACTGATGAGCTGCTTTTTAGGCAGCTTCTCCACCATGTTCCATCTTCTCATTGTAGAGCCCCTGAACAGTTCCCAAAAAACCCCACAATCCATACAAACAGGCTTATGAAGATAATGCAACTATCGGACTAAATTATTTTTCGTTCCCCAATCCAATGGGATCACAAACACCCCATTCGTCCTGTGATGCTTGGTGAAGAAAGCATCCAATAAAAGGGCAAACAAATTATATGAAGCCTGATTGACTGTCTTAACCATTTGGAGCAACACCACCCCCACTGGAAAGAACGGTAGATGGATGAATATATTGTAACATCCCTATGAAATGTCCATTCATTTTAGTGAGCCTTTGATAACCTTCAAAAATCAACTATATGTTGCCTTATTAATCTGATCATGATCGTTGTGCATTTCTGTATACTAGTTCTAAAACTAAACACCCACATCCACAAGGGTTCACAACTCAGCCAGTAACACGATGCACAATGTCTTACTGAAAACACATGCACACACACACTAGAAAGCTTTCCAAGTCAAAAACCAAACAAAGCTGTATATTTCCAATGCACAGAAATGACACCTGAGTTCATTGAACAGGGCAACCAGGTGGCTGAAACACGCCGAGAGAGACCAAAGAGACGAGCCAAGTCAAATACAGCCTTCCAAATAGCTATCATGTGCCATAATAACCTTTTGCAAAGCTACATAATAGCCCAAAGTTAAGTCCCAATATGAATTTGCCTTATGTACAGTCAGGATCACACCTGCTCAGGGAAAGTGAAGGGCACTGCTGAAGTATGTGCGTCAATTCAATTCACTGACTTCTGAGGGAAAACATCTTGGGACACCCCCTCCCCCACCTTAAATGAAAGTGATCCAATGTCCATTTCCCAAGACAGGATTGTTTTGGCACAAGCTGCATACCAAGATTTCCCCAAGAGGCGATGCAGAAACCTTTTCAGGGCACGTGAGGCAGACGTAAGGGCTGAGGCAGACGTACAACGAGCTGGCCAAAGACACAGCACAGAATGTATGCTCCAAACAGTCAAGAAAATTCTGGAAAGCCAGCTCTAACCCACCATTTTGATTTTTATCAGTCGTCATCTTCAAACTCCCAACATGCATCTTTTTATCAGTGAAATATTTCACACTTTTTTAAGAAGAAGAAGAAGAAGAAGAAGAAGAAGAAGAAGAAGAAGAAGAAGAAGAAGAAGAAGAAGAAGAAGAAGAAGAAGAAGAAGAAGAAGAAGAAGAAGAAGAAAAGTTTTTTAAATCTCCATGGCAAAGATGGCCTAGAAGGAACACCATCCTATGGGGGCATGCTTGGAATCAGGAGGATGGGGTGTTTCAGGAGATTAGTTAGCACCAGTTGCCAGCAGAATTGCTCATACTCTGTGACAGGCCAAATAACAACATCTTCTGCTTGTTTCTTTGCTCTTGTCTGTGTGTTTTGCAATCACGATGTACTAGTGTCTGCCAGCTTTTGAAGGATATGATCTTTAAGTGAAATTACAGATCAAACGAAAAGCTTTTTGTTCCTATTAAAATTTGTCAGAGTCATATGGGAAGGCAAAAAAAAAAAGCTTGCAGAGTACATTCTGCTGTCAATCTAATAAACATTCTGTGCAGAGGGACTACTTATCAAAAGATAAATTGTAGTTAAAAGTCATTCATTAAACCTATGGGGGGGAATATAATTACACCAAATTGCACAGTTTCAGTATCCATGGTAAAATGTCTGCCTTTTACTCCTACTTTGAAAATAATTTAAAAATAAATAAATAAAAACGGGTATCATGGCAGGAAAACAACAACAACAAAACCCATGTTGACTTGCAAGACAAACTCTTTTACGCCGGCTCACTTTTAAAACTGAGAACATCAGATGCACAGTGATATAGCTTGCTTCTCCCTTCAATGATCAAGTCACCTATACTAGGTGTAAAATAGTTCAAGTTTTCCCAGACTAGCCTACAACCTGGTAAAGCGAACAGGGTTGGGGTTGAGGTTTACTGACAAGGAAATGGTTCCCAATTGTTGTGCTGCAAAAACATTGCTTCTCTCCATCCCAAATCCTACTGAGCATTCCGCTTTTACTATTTTAATATTTCCCTATCTTCTGGATTCCTTTCTCGGCAGGGCTCCTGCTTGGCTTGGAATGAGATGTTAGAGTCAGTAAGCCAAAAGCTTTCAAATGCAAGCCTTTGTTATTGATGAGCTGTTCCCTTTTCCTTTTGTATTTGTTTATTGTTCTGCAGTCTGTTTTTTTTTTTCCAGAGGAGGGAAATTAGCTATTGTAATCAAAAAGCCCTCCCACCCCCAAGTCCAGAAGACTTCTAAGGAAAAGGCCTTTTGGAGGCACAGTTGGGGACAAATGACTTTTGTGAATGTAGGGTGGCCGAAAAACCATAGAGCAGGTTTCCCCTTTTTAAAGCTCTGTCCAATGCCTTTCTACAGTCAGCTGAATCCCTGTAAATAAGCCTCCATAAAAAAAAAAAAACATTCCTCTGTAAAATATTTTCTCAGCATTCAGAAGCAGCCTGACCAAAGGGTGCCTCTGAGGATGTTAGCATGCGGACTGGTTCCAAGAGGAGCATAAAGGAGTTTAAAAGCCCAAAACAATTGAAAAAATACCTGATTCAGAAACAAAGGCCGAGTTCAGACTGGCAGTTTGCCCCAAAATAGGCATGAGGCAGAAACGTTTCACAAACTGATTAAAGGGGCCGTTCACACAAGCACATCTGTCAGGCGTTCCCCAGCCGTACTCAACCCGTCTTGTAACGCTTCCCTCCCAAGTTTAAAAGATACCAGGTGAAAGTGGTATCAAACCCTGGAAAGCGCAATTATCCCGCATCCATCCCGCTTCCCGGAAGTGTGAACATGAAAAGCCACGATCTGGTAGGGATGCGCTTATGCGCATGAGTGCATGAGCACACATAACCAGATTACCAGAAAAAGCTGATTACAGCCACGCCTCTGGGCCAACAGTGTGAAGGCTCCCTTGCGCCTCCTCCCCGGTATGCTCCCACATCAGTCGGTGCAGTGTGACCGGGAAAACCTGGAACAGTTTGTCCCGGGTCTTTTTTGCCACGACTCCCTCCCACTTCGAACTGCCAGTCTGAACTCAGTCAAAGATAGCCAAAATCTCACAAATATCACCAAATGCACCTTTACTTTCTCTGAAAGGTAAGGTCATAAAGAGCTTATGATAG